ATGTGTGTTATTAGTAAGTAATCTTTATTTATATACCGCCTTTTCACTGCAGATCTGAGTCTCAAAGCGGTTTACAATTGTTATCTTTGGGCATTTGTCTCTCACTCCAGACAGAGATGGGAGCGGGGCCAGTACAGGACGCGCTTGCCAGAACAGTTGGACATATTTTTAGTGGTAGGGGAAACCGGAGTACCCGGAGGAAACCTACGCAGACACGGGGAGAACATGCAAACTCCACTCAGAAAGGCCCTGGTCCGACCGGGATTCGAACCCATGACCTTCTTGCTGAGAGGCGAGAGTGCTATCCACTCAGCCACGTGTTATGTTGTCATGTTCAGGGTAAGAAATCTATTTGGAATGTATCTATTTGGTTTTGCTCATAGACTGTATATATTAACGGACATAGTCACGCCTATCTCCGCCGTTCTAACTGATGGGCCAAAAATTGGGCTCTCATGGAGTGATTCAAAATGGCCGCGGGGGCTGGAAAATGTGAAAAAACGTATCTGTGCCGTGGATCTATTATAATAACTGGATAGGGTATTACTAGCTTGTAGCTGAATAACCCATGTGCTCGGGGGATTCTCGCGGTACTGCAGACTGAACCAGACTAAATTCACGCGGGCTACCCAGAAATTATCCCCATAGAACTCAATGTAAATTAAAACAGCTCAACCTCAGCTGAAAGAGAACAGCTTTCATAAAGATCGGATTTTGTGGGGATTTTAGTGTCCCTTGTCATCCTGAACTTTTTTTCTTCTTAAATCCTTCGGTTTTGTTTAAATCTACACTTTGGTGCCACAAACTCTGCTCGTCTGGCTCTCGCTCTAACTCCCGCTCTGGTGGTATTGCAAGCATGTCAGCGTACGTCATTTTGGCCACTTTTGAGCCGGGAACCGCCCCCATGGATTTTGCAACATATTGTCACATTTTTGGATGATAGGGTTAGAGATCCAGATTCATTGTATTTGCCATTTGCAGTAAAACCACATTGGAATACATGTGCAAATGTCCAAAGTGTGCGACAGGCAAAGTTCAGTCTTACCATTTTGGTCTTAAAAAAATGTTTTGTTGGTGATTAATGACAGAACAAACAATTAACTGACTAATAAACTAATATATACTATAGGTAAAGACTAGATACAGTGTATAATATATAATATAAAGGTATTGTATTTTTTTAAAGGAAAAATTAACTAATAGTGTCCTCACTCTAATGTGATCAGAAAGAAATATTTTGGCATACAATTGTAGGCAGTGAATGAAAATATAGAGTAATGTATGTATAGAGGAGATATTATATAAAAAGTGCCATGTTACGATCAGATTTTATCATTTTGTTTTATTGATTTATTTTCTCTAAAGTTTTTTGTTCCCATAGCGGTGAAAGAAAGTTTAATTAAACCTTATGCAATCTTTATTCACATCTATGTGTGTCCATTAAGTTGGATTCTAAATGTACCTACAGAGCCCCAAGATCCACTGCAAATGATAATAATTAAACTAATTACTTACAAGTAGAAACTAATACACACAAAGTGAGCAATGTCAAGCCTTTATAGTTACAATATAAATAATTATTTACAATGAGCCGTTAAAAACCCCTAATAAAACATCTCTGAAAATGAGACTGTTTTGCATAAACAAAAGAAGGCTTGGCATATACCACTTTCAGGTAATGAGTCTATGATATTGTAAGTTGAACTACAGAAAAAAACTTAAATGATGTTCTAATTTTCTGAGTTCTACCTGTGTGTCAATCGCTTACAAATATACTTTATTTATTCACTACAATTCAAAGTTGTGAGGTGTCATCATTCACTACCGTCGCTCCAGTTTGTGTGTTGGTATAAATAATGTTAACCGTGAGTGAGGAGGAAAGAAGTGACCAGTACAAATTAAAACCGAACACATTTCTGTCTTTATTAGCCTTGTCTGGCAGTAATACTGAAAAAGTGAACTCAGAACAGATGGTGGTGGCAGTCCACTGACTGTTTTTTTCCTGTTTTTCTTTATTTCTTTGATATTTTTCTTCATTTTTTTGTAAGAGTACAACAACGACTCCTGCTTTTCTGTGGCATGGATAACATCAATAAAAGAGACAGAGGGAGAGAGAAAAAGAAATATACAACTTATATTACATTGTGTTATGAACAAAATATAAATCTATACCTCTATGTTATATTTACATAATTATCTTTCTTGACTTTTTTTCAAGTTGAGATGGTAAGATACTTTTCTTTGTTTGGAGCTCCACTCATGACTTGATTGTCTTAAATAACATCTCCGTCGTCATTGTCTTGTAAAGGGGCTAAATAGATAGACCTTGCCAGCAGGGATGATTGACGTCTCAAAGCCCCGCCCCCCCCAGACACACCCGCTTCTGCTTCTCTCTGATTGGTTGCTCCCTCTTTCCAGCATCGGGCTGAACCATGGCAGGTTGGCTGGGGGAGGAGCGGGGGCTTTGCAAGTTTACAGCAAGTTAAGACTTAATACAAAGGCTCAATAGAAAAAATGTGTAGTGGATATCTATAGCAAGAACGGGGGCAGCGCACCAGCAGAGTAGTCATGGCTCTTGTAAGTGTCGCGTGGAGCTCAAACAAAGCAAAAGGCTCCTGATCTATAGAAAATAATCTATTCACCTCACATGACAGCAGTGGGACAGAGGCTGCACTTGTAAACACTGATTTAAGAACATGTGTAAAAGCATAAGACGACAATGCTAATTTAATCCATTGACAGAAAAGAGGGAGAGGACGAACTTTTCATGTGAACTGCCATAAAGTTGGAAATTCATCATTCGTTGTGTAGTTTTAAGAAGTGCTGCTAAAAGAGAAGGCTGGTAGTCTCAATGAAAAATTCTTAAAGGTGATGTCAGCAAATATTTTTCAGACCATGGACACTTTACTATTATGCACAGTAAGTATTTTTTAACAATAACACGTTCAAAATAGTCCTTTGCCTTGGCATAACTACGGCCAGTAAGATTTGCTGGAGGAGAATAGTTTAACCAATGTCAAGGGGCCTCAAGGATTTGAATGATTGTTTTCCAATCAGGACGCAGTGGGAGGTGAGCACCCACTCACTCTCTCTTCACAATTTGATGAGTAACTAACATTCACTTAAAAAAAACTTCTTATCATGATTATAATTCAATGTGTGTGATATAACCAGCTCTCATATTGTCTTATCGATTTGGAAGTCCTTGTGAAATCCAGTGAAAAGCTTTGAAAGAGGAAGGACGCTTTGAACAAGGTTGATCAACAAAAAGGTCCACTCCTCTTGGGCTGTCATGAATTAAATTAGAAAAACAAAAATAACAGCATATGATTAAGTGTTCCTCAGTGTAGGTTGATTGACACTATTAAGGTATGGGCGTCCACTGCGGTCCACTGTGTAGAGGCGATCAGAGAAGTAAACAGAGATGGGACTGTTTGTTCACAGAAAACAGCTTCCCCAAAAAGAAAACAGGTCTCTATAGAAAAGTAAAGGAAACTTCACATTTGTCATGATAAACATTGCAAATAAAATAATAATAATAATTAACAAAATGCTCATGTTCTTCTTCTCTCTGACTGCACAGAGTGAGTGCTTTCGAAATGCTTTTGGACATTGGGGTAAATACCTAAGCATGGAGGAGGGCTGCGTCGAGGTTTGTCCTGTAACACCGTTGCCAGGGTTAATATAATAATAATAATAATATAATAATACAAAAATACAGAAGAGGGGGGGAGGGCAGAAAGAAATGCAAAACAAAGGGAAAAAAATGACAAATTGAGCTTTGTCTAAACACCTACCAGCTAAATAGATAATGCTTCATTGACTGTCTTAGCTTCAGATGGTCATACAAACCCAAATGAAGAGGAGAAAAATAAATTAAGCTGTACATAACTTACTAAACTTAGGATATGATGACTCTCCTTAAACAATTGTTGATAATATTATTAGACTAGAGGCAGTTTGAAGAAAAAACAAAAGTAATACAGTTCAAATACAGAACACTGACTGGCTGGCTGCTCCAAAACCTTTGCCACGATCACTTGGGACAGCAGGATGACTATATGGGAAAATCCACTCTTTTGGACGAACAGTAGTTTTTGAGTTTGTGGTTGGCGAAGAGAGGGGTAAACTGCTGGATTGTCTCGTAAATGCACGGTGCTGGTTTTTGCTCCGTGATGCCAGAGAGACCCCACACTCACTAAAAAACAACTCTAATTTTAAAAGGTGGGACAGTCCTTCACATTGTCTTTCTGGGACCGCCCCGCCTCAAATTTCCTCTAAACACAAGGGTGAACATAGGGGTGTTCGCTGACAGCACGCTGACTGAGAGGTCAAAGAAAAGCTTTGTTAAATCTTTGTTGAAAATAACAAAACGGATGTAGTTCAGGTGCTTTACAACAAAAGGGGAAAAAAGATCAGTCTCTTTTTCCTATTATTATTCAAACTCGTAGCACAAAACAACAAATCACATTCACAAGCCACTTATTGGCACCGTGTACCTGAGTGAGAATATTATAGAACCAAAGAAAGCAAAAGCTGTATTTTTAAAAGTGTCTCTTGATAGTAATAAACAGGTCCGCCTTCATAAAGTGTAGTCTTTTAGCCCCGGATAGTCTCTCTTTTTACTTTTATCTATACAAACGGCTCTAGAAAGAACGCGCTCTGAGTCTGGCTTTTGCGGCAGTTCGCTCAGAGCAGCAGTAGTTTCTCAAAATCTCAACGCGAGCTCTTGAGACACGTTTGAATGTAACAGTCAGTGTGAGTGACGAGTCCCGTGTGCTTTGATTCCATTGGTCAGTCAGATGCTGGTATCTGGAAGGGGGCGGGACACTCTTTCGAACAAGAGTCTGTGTTAGTTTGAGAGACATGGGGAAAGGGGGCAGGATCTGTGACGCACGCAGGACTGGTGATTGGCAAAAAATAAAAAATTCCATTTCCTGATTGGTAGGATTGCGTTGGATCAGCTTTGATTGTGTCTTGAGAAAAAAAAGCGGGGTGTCCTATTGAGTGATGTGGTTGTCATTGTCACTTGTGTAATCTGCTTCTTCGTCCTCGTAGTCAAAGTCGTCGTAGGCGTCGCCGTTGCTGTCGTCCAATCGCAGCTCCTCCTTGATGCGAGGCTCCTCCCCCTTGAGCGTGGTGAGCCCTGGCGTCTGGTGGTGGTTGGCGTTGGGCTCGGGACTGCTGGACATGCTGGAGTGCTCGGAGGGCATCTGGGGAGAGGGCATCCCGGCCATGGACAGTGCGCCTGGATACACCACGCCTCCAGAGGACAGTGGCAACTGGCCCTGCTGCCTGTTAGGGGGAGGGGCGAAAAACATGCAGGTTAAAGCTGGGGTCCCTGACTTTCAAACCACAAACATTCAACTATGTGATAATGTCCACCAAAGCTCCTCACTCTCAAATCAGTTCCACCAATCAGCTCTCAGCCCAACAAGATAAAACATGTTCTAATAGGATGAAGACTGCATGGTTTGATTTGTCAAATGTGTTTTAATTGGATAAAACAGGAATGTCAAACTCGGACAATATTTAGTGGCCACCTATAATGATTTTCAATTATTATTAATAGCTTGTAGCTTCATGGTTATGGGCTACAAAGGCATGTGATACAAAATCTATTTTTTTCTGGAAAACAACCAAATGTAATTTATTCTAAATTGTTAAGCCAACAAATCATTTTAAGTTCAATAGTTGAATATAAAACAATGTGTTCAACCAATATTTGGAACAGTTTTGGTTTTGGCTCTAAACAATAAACACAAGTCAAAGGTAAAAAGACCTTCATAATGTAAAAAAACAATTATTCTATTCTTTCAGCCCCCGACGAGTTCCTATTTTTTTTTACTCGGCCTCTGACCAAAATGAGTTTGACATCCCAGGATTAAAAGGTCATAGAGTATATATTGAAACAGATTAAATGAGGTGGTGACCTCATTAAGGCTTAATATGCCATAAGAATCCAAAAGTTTTGCATGAGTACCGTTGCAGTTGTAGAGGAATGGGGCAGTTTGGGTCATAGAAACAGACTTTACATTTGTATGAACCAAAAAAAGTAGTGTTTTAGGTCAAACATGGAAAGAAAGTTTCACCACACACACACACACACACACAAAAGTAGAAATCCAGTCACGGAAAGAACAGAGTTCAGGTATATGTCTTTGAATACTAATGGCACAGAACACAGTTTATTGTAAACAGAAAATGAGTGCATGAGGCCTTTCACTAGAAATGTCATGGGGGGAATTTGGTTTTTCAGAAAATCTCTTTAAAAAGACCAATAGTGAGAATGCGGTATTTTTTAGGACTGCGGCCTTGGCAGTATGGCCTCCACGGAGAAGTGTGTGATATTGGCAGGAATTACAACCTGCTGCTAGACATGTCAATTCTTTTCAGTACAACCTGCACCATTGAGAGTGGGAGTTTTGGAAACCAATCTTACAATCCACCAGAAAAAAAAGAAAAGAAAAAAGTGTCATGCTAAATAGCTTCAGTTCCTATAGCGCTCACCCCACACTGAAGTATTGCCTCATCTCCTGCCGGCGGGACCTCATGATGGCCTTGTACTCGCCGATACGCAGCTTCTTGCCGTCGACCAGGCAGGTGCGTTTGGGGCGGGGCTTGTACTTGTAGTCGGGGTATTTCTCCAGGTGCTGCTTGCTGAGACGCGCCTGCTCTTCGTAGTACGGCTGCTTCTCCAGGTTCGTCATGGCCTTCCAACGAGAGCCTATGGGAAGAACAAACTTGTGTTATAAGAAAGCTAAATGTGTGTGCAGGCAGAACACTTAGTAACAGTTTCATATGAAAGCAGAGAGGGAACAATCTAGGATAAAAGTCTATGTAAACATATTTGCGTCATTGTTTGAATTGAGTTATTTATCTTTCTACATATCTCCTTTCACATGGTTTGAATTAAGCAGTTTCTTTTCCCTTCTCGTATTTTTCATTTCATTCTTTGTCTTGATGTTATGAATCCTGTTTTCTTTAGGAAAAGTAAATTATCAGAATACTCAGAAATATATGTAAATTGCATTAATATGTATTTATTTATTAGTATCACATCTTTACATTCAGTATTATTATTATAAGGTAAGTTAAATAAAAATAGGAATAATTTGTTCAATCAAAAGTTAGTTTCTGTAATTTAACCAACACATAAAGAATCATTGACAAGTGCCAAGCCTTTGTATAATAATAAAATCATTTGGAAGATTATGGCTTACATTCCATTTTGAAAATATTATTTTCAGAGAGAGCGATTTTGACAAACTGTGAGCAAATTCTTAAAATTATAACAAATAAGGCTTGATATATCATATCATATATCATATGTCATACATTAATGTCACATTGTAAGTTGAATTTTTGAATGATCCAACATTGTATTTACCATGATTCATGAGTAATTCCTGAATTCATGCCATAATTCAATCCGTCAACGTTTGTTGAATGGATGTCAAAATTTTTTCCTCTTCTGAGATACATAAAGGAACTCTCATGTAGGACATTTGTAGAAAATGAAAAACATGATAAAAATCTGGCACAATTATCTTGGACTAAATCATGTTAGATTCCAGCATATGATTCACATCTGTCATATGGACTGTAACTGTAAAGCAGACCGAATCACAATATGTCGTCTTTTGATGTTATTCCCATTTCAAGAACATAAACACTGCTCACACTTGCTCCTTCTTTGTAAGTATGAGCAAGTAAATAATAGAGAGTATATGTAAGATCTTTAAATCATGATCATAACATTATGACAAAATGACAGTTTCCACAAAACAGATTGAATTAGAAGTGAAAAGGTATTTGTATGTGCAGCACTCGTGTGGGTATCTGCTCTGCATTTGCCGGAGTCTCGACTACTGTAGTTCTAATGGCTAAAAGCTGTCAGCGCACTGCGATCTGTTAGCCATCCGCACAAGACGAGAGCGAGGGAGAGAGAGGCGCTTATTAAAACCAGATTTCTGTGTGTTATAAAACGTTTAGGAGCTCTTTAAAATGTCATGAGCGATCGCAGCAGTCCGGGGGAAATGTCAAATGGTCGCGCCGCTGCTTGTTTAATGCATAATGAATTATATCATCACTTGTCGGAGAGCTTCCTCTGCTCCCCAGTCGTTCATTAAACAAGCGCACACACACACACGCACACACACACTCGGGAAGGAAGACACCGGAGCGCCGAAGCTCTTGCATGTCACACTCCTGTCAATCCAATGCTGGTTTTGTCCTCTTTATGTACTGCTCATGATTATCACAACATATACAAATGTGAATTCTGTATAGAGCCACATGGTAATATTTCATTATTTAGTTCTCTCCAAATACTGATTTAAGTACTATTGTGAGGTTGAGCCTTCTCGTTTGCATTGATTTCAGGTTTGTGAGGCTTGAATTTTACCACGGCAAAAAAAAAAAAAAAAAGTCCAAAATGCAATGACAGTTACTTAAAGTCAAATTTTCTGTCTGAGTAAAAAAAAAATCTGACAAAGCGTGTTTCAGTTAAATAATAAAAAATAATATCTATGGGTCAGGGTTTTATGTTCTTTCATATCTCTCCACTATGTTACACATGTTTTAGACTGGAGCGTATTAAGATGTATTTTTTACCATTTTCTTGTAAGTTTGACTTTTTTCTGTAAAGTTAGAACTACTTGACTGACTGTTTTATAATTATGACTTGATTTGGTTTAACGGCACCTGTAACGGCACAATACACATTACAATTTCGCACAAATCAAGCCACAGATTGGGAAGAGAAGTGTGAATATGTTGAAATGTACAGGAATCCCCCTATTTGATGCTCGGGATGGACAGAAGTTTTCGAAATATCGGACACAATTTTACAGAATTCACTCGAGTAAAAGAGGATTTTAGACCCAGTTTACAACAAATGCAATTGTTTTTTTGTTTGTTCAAAAATGTGCACACGTTATAAAGCTAACTATTATCATCCCTAGTGTATTATCAATCTGCCGGGGGTAACATCATCATCTAAGCCTAGAGTCGAACTTGGATGTTCTTTAGAAATACAAAATGCAAAATCTTAAATGTATTGTCAAATCTAACCGTGCCTTTGAACACGAACAAGACTTAACCATCACTGGGGTTTTCTTTCTGGTTCTAAATAAATTGTGAAACCTAAACCATGCAGACTTCATCGTACAGTAACAGTAGCTAAGGTGTTTGGGGCACTTACCCAGAATTTTGCTGATGTTGGAGTTGTGCATGTCGGGGAAGGCCTGCAGGATCTTCCTCCTCTCGTCCTTCGCCCACACCATGAAGGCGTTCATTGGTCGCTTGATGTGCGGCTCGCTGGCGCCCCGCCCCCTGGCCTCACGGAATATCCTGGACTCTGACACACTGGGGGAGCCTGTGTAGGAAGGGAGGGTTTGGGAATGCTTTTTTAAAGTTCTTATTAAACTATGAACTAGCTGTAAGTTTATTTTTCACTAATATGTTGTCTAACTGTGAGTTTCAAGGTGCAAAGATTTCAGATTTCAAACACTCTTACTCTTTTTCTTTCGTTTATCTGTTTCACGGCTCCACATTGTGTACTGGATGGCACCTAAAACACTAAATAAAAATTATTCTATCCATTCTAACAAAACTTAACTAAACCTTGAACTTCGTGAGTTAGTATGAATGCTGTTGTAGCAGCTATTGAGGTATTTTAAAGCAACACAAAGTTTCTGGAGGTGGTACGTCACTTGCATGATTCAATAAAAGTACTGCAGAAAGTTATAACTATATCTTTTAGGAACATGGTATGTCATGTATGATATTCATGTAATAATGCTTATTAAAGGCTAACACAATGATTGCACCTAATTAACATCCATGTAAAAAATTTTCATCCTCTGGTTTTGTTTTTGTTTGTTAATTGTTCATCATGAATACCAGGACTAAAACTATTGAGACATGAGGTAATGGAAGTCGTAGTACTAGTAGTAGTATAGTAGTAGTAATAGTATGTTGCAGTAGTAGTTGCTCTCCCCCTCAAAGTCAAGTAGTAGTAGTAGTAGTAGAAGTCGGTGCGTACCATCCGAGTCCCCGCTCATGGTGAAATCCAACATGGCGTGGTTGAACTTGTCTTCAGCCTGTTGTTTGAGCTGCTGACTCAGACTCTCCAGCGCTGCCTTGTCCTGTTACACACAAAATATTCACAGTGAGCATGAGGCAGAAACAAACCTTTCAGATGAGCCTTTGGTACTTGCAAATCTAAATATACAACTGCCATAATACATTTTTTTCAAGTAGACTTGAGAAAAAAACAGCCACTTTGAATTCATTGTTAAGGCCTTCAGTGAATGCAGGCCTTGTTCAGGCATTGTTCGGAGAGGGTCGAATACAAAATACATTCCAGTATAAATGCCATTGTTAATGTATTGCAGCGCACGTGTTTTTGACCATTATATTCCAATATTTTCACCAAGGAAAAAAAAGAAAGAAAAAAGAAATATCCACGCTGATGCGGCGTCTCAAGAACCAAAAAAAAAAAAATGCATCAGTCGCACAAAGACACAATAGGGTGCCTCGGATTTCCTCCTTCCTAAATGCACTTTTGTGTTTGAAAAAGTGAGTGGGGGGTATGGACATGTGTTGTGATAAAACATCAAAATATAAAAGTTGTATAATGAAATAATAGAGAGAAATTACAACAATAATCCATGCACAAAGTCAGCTCACAGAAACTGATCCGGTGTGACCCAAAAAAACCAACAAAAAATCTGCCTCCTGTGTGGCCTGCAACAGGGTAAAGTAATTTCTATGTATAAACGGAGCGAAAAGGCGCTGATTTGTATGTTGTGTTTTGGTGCTTTTCGATGTCAATTTATGTAAACGTTTGCAGCAGCAGCAGCAGCAGCAACAGCAGCAGCAGCAGCAGTAGCAGCAGCAGCAGCAGCAGCAGCAGCAGCAGCAGCAGCAGCAGCAGCAGAAGCGGCGGCGGTGGTGGCGCGAGCTCACATCTGCCTCATGTTTAAAGCCTATGTGAGTGCTTCCAGCCTGTGTATGTACTTGTGCGTCGAGTGTGTGTATGTGTGTGTGTGTGCCTGTGTGTATGTATGTGTGTGTGTGTGTGGGACAGTGCCAGCCACCTGCGTCAGTGGAGAGGCCCCCGGGGTGATGCATTAGACTAGAGCCGAACGAGAGCCGGGCCACGCCGCTCGGCCCCCTGGGTATTTATTACAAGCAATAAAAGGCTGATTTAGTGAGCATTTACATGTTTAATGCACATACACAGCCACTCCAGCGCCGAGCCAGCGTTTTTACAGTTTAATTATATGATTAGGATTGCTCCCCGTAACACTGTTGTCTTCTAAAACAGCCTTTCCAAAAAGTGTCTCTCCATTTGCACGTGACCCCAGAGCGCCGCCGTCATAATGAATGCGTTTTACTCTGTTTTAGCCCCAACAAGGTTTAATTGTTACGCAGCGGTTTGCAGTAAATATGGATAAAAAGACAGGCGGGAGGAAAAGCAGTGAAAGGGAGAATGTGAGCGACTAGAATACAATCTCTTTAAAAAAAATAACAAAACGCACGGTGGAAACTAGAAAGTGCTCAATTGTTGAAGAGATAGAGATGAATAAGGAAATAAGCAATACTAAGTTATAATGGTGGAAGTTTCTTTATGGCGAAACACAGAGATGCAGAAATATTCCAGGAACTTGCTCATCAGAAATCAAATTCACCAAACCGGCAGAGAAATTCAATAGATTCAAGTGGAGTTGGACATAGAGATATCCATAATCCACAGCCGACACTGTTATCGCAGATTAAAGACACTCCACCAAGACAAGTGACAGAATAAATGCACAAAAAAAGGTGAAATAATCTCTAAACTAGCAAACATTCTGTAAACATTAATCCCAATTCACCTCTGCTTCTCTGATTTGTTTTATCTTATTTATAGTAACATACTTTTTTACATATTTTTTGTAAGACATTGTTGAAGAACTGTGATTTCTCTTCTTAAATTTACAAACATACACTTACTGTATACACCCAACCTGGCCCGGTAAATAATCTGTATCATTATTCCAAATGCCTAATGACTAATTAGCAGTTAGTGCGTAATACTGTGGTAATCATAACCTTCAAACAAGCAGCAATTATTTTAGTGTCATTCAGGAAGAAGCGATGGAGAAAATGCATCGGCTGGTTTGTATGTTGCGGGTCAATTTAGTCAATCGATCCGGTAATTTTGATCAATCATATCAAAATGACCAAAAGCAGATTTATTCAAATAAGATAACAATTATTCATCCCACAGTGCGGACATATCATTGATACAATAGGAATAAAGAGCACACACACACACACACACACACACACACACACACACACACACACACACACACACACACACACACACACACACACACACACACACACACAAATAAATTCCTAAATGCTTCTTTATCTTAAGATGTATTAATATGAACCTATGAAACAACGATAACGAGAAAAGTACAAAGTCAATAGGGGTTCAAAGCATTAAATTATGGGATTGAGTTATTGCGCTGCAGATTATTCTCTTTAACCCTGTGTGTCTGTGTGTGTGTGTGTGTGCGTGTGCCGACTCCAACAAATATAAGTGCATTTTCTCCAGGCGGCAGAGGAGCCCGAGCCGTCATTTCACATCACGCTTAATCAAACATATTCAAGGCGTGCTCCGTCTCCACCTCATCTGGCCCTGTTAAGCTTCCACACCTTTGAAACCAGCCCAATGTGCCGTCGTTTGCCTGCTACGTACACGCGCAACACGCCGCGGCTGCCATGAAAACCGTGCGCATTCCTTTAAACATATATTACAGATCCAAGGAGAGCCATGTGATGCTATATTTCCGTTTGATCTCAGGTATGGATATTCTAATAAAAGTCCCATACATGCAGTGATGCTATGGTGTAATGGTATATGTTTGCATCGTTATGTGGCGTTGGATTGACATGCTTGTGAAGATGTGAATTTTACAGTGTATACCTAAAAGCGTGTAGAATTTAATTTGTTAAAACTGCTAATAAAATAATATAATGTGCAATAACTTAGTAGGGAATGTGTTGATGAGTTTGATTTCAAGTGAAGTCACTACTTTGAATCTAATTACAAGTTACAGTCATATTGTTGTTTATTTATTTAAGTTATTGCTTTTTCTACTTATTTTTTGACAAAGGAACAAGTATAAGGAAAGAAAAAAAAAGAAAATTCTCACTTAAAATGGAGAAAACACGAAAGCACTGGGATTGAAATGAGCATAACCTGCTTGTTCCAATGACATATCCTATTTGAAGTACGCACATAAAAAATGGATTTTCACTTCAAACTTTTCTCGTTTGCATTTGTGTGTGTGTGTTTTTTTTCCACCGGGCGTGTCCTACCTTCTCTGAGCGTCCGTTGTTGAGGCTGAGGGTGCTGACCGCTGCCACTTTGGCGTCCAGCACTTGTTGCTCCCTCTTGAGCTGCTCCTTCATGTGGCGAGCCTCCGCAAAGGCCTTGGACACAGCTTCGTGATCGCTCAAATACGCCCCGGAGGTCAGCGAGGACAACAGGTCTGCTGGGACAAACACACGGGACAAATATTATCAACGGGATATAAAGCAACGCAATTTATACAGAGAAGGAAAAAGGGGAGAGCAAAGCGAGCCGTGTGTGTGTGCGCGTGACAAGGACTATTTAAAAGTATTTTTCAGCGACGCCATGAGGTAAAAGCATTAGCATAAAGCTCAAGAGGGGCAGTTGTTTGTCTGTGAAAAACATAGAGTCAGTGTGAGTTGTGCGTTAGTCACAGAGCTCCTTCAGACACATGCAAACTGCCCACCGGCTCCAGCAGCCCTGAAGGCCCCACACACACACACACACACACACACACACACACACACACACACACACACACAGACACACACACAGACACGCACACAGACACACACACATACATACGCGCGCAACCTCACAGCTTGGATAAACAAAGTACTGATAGAAAGTCTTCAAAACAACTTTCAAAACAACTCTAACAGTTGTTTCATTCATTCGTTATCATCTTATTATGAAGACATGCTTTGTGGCGTCAACTTTCTACACTGCACAAAAAGGGCCTCAAAATAACCAAAACAAATACAAATCAAATCGGATAAATTCTAGCTTAATTCTTCAATATTTCCTATTCATCATGTTTTTTGCTTGTTTTTGTTTTGTTTTATGTGATGTGTTAAATAAAGATAATTGTAACTGTAATGTGTGTTGAAACCAGATTTACGTCCAGACCAATAACGGTAATACTAACTCATTTGTATTTAATGTGTGCATTTGCACACCCCCCTGGACTGCCACCTTAACGTGGTGGGGGAGTTTGAGTACTCAGATGATCCTGGGAGCTATGCTGTCTGGGGCTTCATGCCCCTGGTAGGGCCTCCCATGGCAGACAGGTCTCAGGTGACGAGTCAGACAAAGAGCAGTCCAGAAGACACCATGGACAGCACTAACACGAAAACAGTGACGTCGCCCGGCATGGCGCAGCCGGGGCCCCACCCTGGAGCCAGGCCTGGGGTCGGGGCCCGTATGCGAGCGCCTGGTGGCCGGGCCTTAGCCCACGGGGCCCGGCCGGGCTCAGCCCGAAGGGATGACGTGGGCAGTCCCTCCTGTGGGCCCACCACCTGCAGAGGGGTCCGTGGTGAAGCGGTGCAGAGAGGACTGGGCGGCAGTCGAAGGCGGAGACCTCGGCGACCCAGTCCGCACACACAACATCTGGCTCTTGGGACGTGGAATGTCACCTCACTGGGGGGGAAGGAGCCCGAGCTCGTGGGGGAGGTTGAGCGATACCGACTAGAGATAGTCGGCCTCACCTCCACACACAGCTTGGGCTCTGGAACCCAACTCCTTGAGAGGGGTTGGACGCTCCACTTTTCTGGAGTTTCCCGCGGGGAGAGGCGGCGAGCTGGGGTGGCCATTCTCATTGCCCCCCATCTCAGCCGCCACGTGTTGGAGTTCTCCCCGGTGAATGAGAGGGTCGCGTCCCTCCGCCTCCGGGTGGGGGACAAGTCTCTCATTGTTGTGACGGCCTACGGGCCTAACAGCAGTGCAGAGTACCCGGCCTTCTTGGAGTCCTTGGGAGGGGTACTGGACGGTGCACCGCCCGGGGACTCCGTTATTCTCCTGGGGGACTTCAACGCCCATGTGGGGAAACGCCAGTGACACTTGGAGAGGGGTGATCGGGAAGAACGGCCCCCCTGATCTGAACCCGAGCGGTGCTCAGTTGTTGGACTTCTGTGCCAGTCACGGTTTGTCCATCACGAACACCATGTTCGAGCACAAGGGTGTCCACCAGTGCACGTGGCACCAGGACACCCTAGGCCGGAGGTCGATGATCGACTTTGTTGTCGTATCATCTGACCTTCGACCGCGTGTCTCGGACACTCGGGTAAAGAGAGGGGCGGAGCTGTCAACCGATCATCACCTGGTCGTGAGTTGGATCCGCTGGCAGGGGAAGAAGCCGGTCAGACCTGGCAGACCCAAGCGTATAGTGAGGGTCTGCTGGGAACGTCTCGCTGAGCCCCCTGTCAGACGGACTTTCAACTCACACCTCCGGGAGAGTTTCTCCCAGGTCCCGGCGGAGGAGGGGGACATGGAGTCCGAGTGGACCATGTTCTCTGCCTCAATCGCCGATGCGGCGGCTCGTAGCTGTGGTCGCAAGGTCTCTGGTGCTGGTCCCGGCGGCAACCCCCGAACCCGGTGGTGGACACCGGCAGTAAGGGATGCTGTCAGGCTGAAGAAGGAGTCCTATCGAGCCATGATGGTTCGGGGGACTCCTGAGGCAGCTGTCCAGTACCGGCAGGCCAAGCGTGCCGCGGCCCGGGCTGTTGCAGAGGCAAAAACCCGGGACTGGGAGGAGTTCGGAGAGTCCATGGAGCATGACTATCGGTCGGCCTCGAAGAGATTCTGGCAAACCATCCGGCGCCTCAGGAGGGGGAAGCAGTTCTTTGCCAACACCATGTACGGTGCGGGTGGAGAGCTGCTGACCTCGACTGGGGATATTGTCGGGCGGTGGAAGGAATACTTTGAGGTTCTCCTCAATCCCCCCGTCACGTCCTCTGTTACAGAGGCAGAGGCTGAGGATGTTGGGGCGGGTACATCCATCTCCCTGGCTGAGGTCACCAAGGTGGTTGGTAGCCTCCATGGTGGCAAGGCTCCGGGTGTGGATGAGATCCGCCCTGATTATCTAAAGTCTCTGGATGTTGTAGGACTGTCTTGGCTGACACGTCTCTGCAACATCGCGTGGCGATCGGGGGCAGTGCCAATGGAGTGGCAGACCGGGGTGGTGGTCCCTCTCTACAAGAAGGGGGACCGGAGGGTGTGTTCCAATTATCGTGGGATCACACTCCTCAGCCTCCCCGGTAAGGTCTACTCCAAGGTACTGGAGAGGAGGTTACGGCCGATGGTCGAATCTCGGATCCAGGAGGAGCAGTGTGGTTTTCGTCCCGGTCGCGGAACACTGGACCAGCTCTATACTCTCCATCGGATACTCGAGGGTTCATGGGAGTTCGCCCAACCTATCCACATGTGCTTTGTGGATTTGGAGAAGGCGTTCGACTGTGTTCCCCGGGGTGTCCTTTGGGGGGTTCTCCGGGAGTACGGGGTCGGGGGTCCTCTGCTGAGGGCCATCCGATCCCTGTATGACCGGAGCCAGAGCTGTGTTCGCATTGCCGGCAGTAAGTCAGACCTGTTCCCGGTGAATGTTGGCCTCCGACAGGGCTGCCCTTTGTCACCGGTTCTGTTCACTGTATTTATGGACAGAATATCTAGGCGCAGCCAGGGGTCGGAGGGGGTCCGGTTCGGAGACCACAGGATTTCATCTCTGCTGTTTGCGGACGATGTTGTCCTGTTGGCTCCAACGAACCAGGACCTGCAGCATGCACTGGGACGGTTTGCAGCCGAGTGTGAAGCGGCTGGGATGAGAATCAGCACCTCCAAATCCGAGGCCATGGTGCTCGACCGGAAAAAGGTGCCTTGCCCTCTGCAGGTGGGTGGAGAGGTCCTTCCTCAAGTGGAGGAGTTCAAGTATCTCGGGGTCTTGTTCACGAGTGAGGGAAGAATGGAGCGTGAGATTGACAGGCGGATCGGTGCAGCGTGCGCAGTTATGCGGTCGCTGTATCGGACCGTTGTGGTGAAGAGGGAGCTGAGCCGAAAGGCAAAGCTCTCGATTTACCGGTCAATCTTCGTTCCCTCCCTCACCTATGGTCATGAGCTTTGGGTAATGACCGAAAGAACGAGATCGCGGATACAAGCGGTCGAAATGAGCTTCCTCCGCAGAGTGGCTGGGCGCTCCCTTAGAGATAGGGTGAGGAGCTCAGTCACACGGGAGGAGCTCGGAGTAGAACCGCTGCTTCTCCACGTCGAGAGGAACCAGTTGAGGTGGCTCGGGCATCTGTTCCGGATGCCTCCTGGACGCCTCCCTGGGGAGGTGTTCCGGGCACGTCCCACCGGGAGGAGGCCCCGCGGAAGACCCAGGACACGCTGGAGGGACTATGTCTCTCAGCTGGCCTGGGAACGCCTTGGGGTCCCCCCGGACGAGCTGGAGGAAGTGTGTGTGGATAGGGAAGTCTGGGCGTCTCTGCTTAGACTGCTGCCCCCGCGACCCGGCAACGGATAAAGCGGAAGAAAATGGATGGATGGATGGATGGATGGATGGTGTGCATTTGCGTCTCATTGTGTGTGCTTATATTGTTTCAGAAGTGATATCATGTGATTTCCGCTACAGAGCTCTCTCAATTCTGACGACTGAAATATTTTTTTTAAATTATACATTTGTAATACACTTCTATCATTCTTTCATATATAAAAGACACAAATCAGCTCCCAGTGACCCATTTAAAAAAAAAAAAACATACAAATATATAAGTTATCATGAGTGAGAATAGTTAAAAGTTGAAAAAAGGCATGAGGGGTAGTTTCTTTAAAAAGCTTGATAATAATATGTGTCTCTGCCCTGTTAGCTCACAACAAAAAGGTTTGCTGGCTTATGAGGCCTTTATCGGTACTAATCCACGTGGCTAAAGCCATCTCAGGCCAGATTAGAGTTTCAGATTGGTAATGACAGAGCCGTAAACTCTCTCAGAAGTTATAACTGAAAAATATTAAGAACGGGGGCATGTGTGGAAGTTTATTTAAATCTGGTGTTGGAAATAAAGCAGGGCAAGAGGAAGGGATTGAACGTTTGCAGGTTGACAGGCTGTGTCACAATGACCTGCTAAATGTTGATACTTTTTGTAAATTATTGTTAGATCTTGCGTGATTTTCTATGGTCAATTTCAAATGAATGCTCTGGAGGTTGCTCCGTGTGACTGAATTAAAAAAACCTATTGTTCCAGAGCTACTCCAGGGTCCATGTCTGTATGACTGTTTTTTCATTTTAATTTATAATCCATCCATCCATTTTCTTCCCCTTAATCCATTTCTGGGTCGGGGGGGTGGCAGTCAGAGCTGCACCCAGTCACAGAGCACCAGCCCCTCACTGATCCTCCTGCAGGTGGTGAGTCCACAGGAGCTGAGATCTTTCAGTGGGGGCTTCAGGCAAAGTGGGGTTAAGTGTCTTGCCCAAGGACACAACGACAGCAGTCATCAGTGGGAGTCGTGAAGTAGGTCTTGAGGTGGGCTCGAACCCACAACCTTCAGGCTCAAAGGCCAATGCTCTACCAACTGAGCTACTGTCGCCCCACTCATTAATTTATAATATTGATTTTTATTTGGTTGGATAATACTAGTTTTGGATGATAGTTTTACACTATTCACAAAGCAGTTCAAAACATGTTTTGTTTTTTAACTAAAAGGGTAAGTTCATATTTCTGATACTTTTTTCATTCGCATTTTTTATCCCTTTTAAATCTTCTTTAGTTTTAGAGGAGAAATATTAAATTAATTTGCTAACAACTGCTAACAAAGTAACAAGACAGCAGGGTGAAAAAATAATAAATAAATCCGACAACAACGTTATTTTTTCCACAATAGGTTTAACCATATTGCTCATTTCAATTACATTTTGCTAAACTGTATAATCAATCAATCAATCAAATTTTTATTTGTATAGCGCCCAACAACAGCCAGAAGGTGCCCAGGGCGCTTTCCAGGATAAAAACAAGAATCACAATAGACACCGATAAAAACAAACACATTAAATGTGTGTATAAGACCCTATCAAGTCTATTTCTCTATGAGCAGACAGACATAGGCGCGCCAAGGTCACAGGGAAACAGCAGCATTTCTGAATAACAAATATGTGTGATAGAAACTGCGGATACAGGCGCTGACAGGCCTTCAGACGTGGACGGGACAGGACGATGGATGGATGGATGGAGTGGGAGTGGATGCAGGCGCCTCTAGGGGGTGTCAGAACAACGGAGAAGGTGAGGGACAGGAGCTGACAGGACAGACGCACTTGGGTTTGGGATTGTAATTTCATATGGCACAGGCACAAACTAGACGCACAGTTAGCAATCAAAAGTAAAGCATATATATATATATAAGTAAAGTATACCTTTCAGTATTGGCATGTTTGAAGAATTTATTAGAATTACTTTGAACTATATGGTAACCTGATTATAAGATTGCTTTAGTTTTGTGTTTGTATTGTCCCACTGCTTTTTGACTTGAATTTATTCTTTTTTTTTTTATTATTAGTCATGTTTTATTGTATTCCTTTTTTATTTTCAATCCCTTTACGTGTTTTTGCTTTTGTTTTGTTTTCTGTAAAATTATGTGTGCAGGTTTTGAAATAAATATTTCATTCATTCATTCATTATTTTGTCGATCACATACAGTACATGTTATGTTCATCACATCATGTACACAACATTGTTTCTCTGTTTTTACACATTTTATTTTTTTTACCCTTTCCCTTCTTTCTGTGTGCCCCTTGTGCACAAATACATCCAAGGTAAAACTTAATAAAAATACATAAATGAAAAAAAAAATTAAACTTTACCTAGGTTGTTTGATGGGGGAAATGGACGTGGAGTTTCAGACTTTCTTTGAATACCACGTGGCTATTTTGCAGGCTGGGACACAGGCTCCATCTTCAAGTACTTCAAGGGAAGACAGAAGAGGTGGTGCCCCTCCTGTCCTTATCCTTGTCCCTGCCACTGCTTGTAATCGTTGGCAAAAGCCATTTCCATTTATTCCCCAAAAATGTAGCTTTTTTTCTTTTAAATGACTATTCTTATATTAAAAACAAGTTACTGCAGTGACATTGGACTTGAATTTATTCCATCCCTCATGTTTTCTGATATAGCTGGGATAGTAGCTTGTTTTTGCCATCTTATTCCAGTGTCGTCTATTAACATAAGTAAGTAATATAGAAAATATTTCATTACTCAGGCAGTTCTGGGAAGCGCCTGTGGTTTGTGGAAAAGAAGGGAACAGGCAAATAATATACGTAGACCCCAGAAATACGCTATGCCTTTTAAAAACAACAATCTCCCCTATTTTCATCCCAAAACAAACTTAACCCGATACCTAATGACATTTAAGATAGTGACTATAGACACCTGGTGGCAAAGTAGAGAAAATAAAATGTTTTTCATTCTTTGTAATCTGGACTCTAGTAGAGTGTAGACAATACGCCACTTAACTTCCTTCTGAATTTCTCATACAGTTGAAAATCTTATATATTTATATATCTATATTTCTACTGTGTGAATTTATATACAGTGTTGGAATGGTATTATTATTTTTTTTCAATTTTTTTATTATGTCTGAGTCACTCGCTCAATCATTTGCAATACTCTTGTCCATCTCTGCGTGGATAGACACAAAAATCCTAATATAATATAGTTAAATGTCCCCTTAAGACCACGGTGGCACCAGACGGAGCCCTTTCACGTTACTGGGCAACAAAGCAAAAACACAAATATTCACATAGGATCACACACAAACTTCACCCGCCTAATCCATATTTCCGAAAAAAAAACATCAGGAACTGCAAATCCATTAATCTGATATTAAATCCGGCGATTTATTGGAAAAACAGTGAGATTAGCCAAGAAGACAGGGGAAAAATGAGTAAGAGCATTTTGCATCTGAGGTGAGTGAGTGTTAGCTGTCATTGTGTCAGTAATGCGGCGCTGTCCTGGCTCGTGTAAGAGGCTTGTCTAATCTCATTGGTGATAGCAACTGTCTGTCATCCTCTCCTCTTCGCATTATTCCTCAGCGCAGAAAAAAAAAGTGTTAATCCGCATCACTGTGGCGCTCTTTCCCTCCTCAGCTCCAAACGCTTCTGTCTCATTCACTCATTAATAAACAGGGAACAATGAAGCAGCCCCGGGGCGAATAGCTATACGGACGCTATAAACTAACACTAATTATATCTTGTTACATATGTGTAATATTTGAACTATCAGCAATCCGTGAAAAAATGGATTAGGAGACACAAAATAGTGTTTCATGTCTTTGCCATATTTGATGTATGTGTGCAATATGGCCTGGCTTGATTATAGCCCTGGCACCGGTAATAATGGTGAAATGTATTCTTGAAAGCACCACCTAAATTGAGCCAAGCCTTCCTCTTTCCAAGGCTCAATACAAGCGTGTTTGGTCAATGGCCCATCTTGTGCTCTACTCAAGCAGATACACCACTATACACTTCCATAATGAAGGACTGGGTGTGCTATAGGAACCAGGCTTAATCAGGCGCTAATACAGATTGACATTTGGTTTCCAATGTTTAGTCTATTGTTGGCCTAAAATCAACATAGGAGTGGGTTAGATTAGTGTATTTTGAATTCTTGCCAAATTTTGGAAAAGCCAAAAATAATTTTCAAGCTAAAATGCTGAAAGGCCTTCAGTGTCCTGTGTATACGACAATCAGGTCCATTGACCGAAGGGTGCTCAGGCTGTGAGATGGTTATTGAGTTAGGAGGAAAAATAAGTGGCAAATCTTGGCTCACACTGTGGGTTCTTGTGTGTTGTGAGTTCTTACTTTGAGAAGTTGTAGCAGTGACCTACCTATTGAGCTGACTCTGCCCTGCGGTCCTCCGATACTGGAGGGGGCGATGGTGTGCTTCAGGGAGCCCGGGCCCATCTTGGCAGCACCGACAGCAGGGACCTGTGGGGAAGTTGGGGGGGAGGTGGGTGACTTGCTCTCAGGTGCCTTAGGCTTGGCCGACAGGTTCAGTGGCTGTGCACCCTCACTGTCCTGCAAAAACCAAAACAGCAAAGTTCCCTGCTGTGACCAGCGTCAGAATTTAGAAACTGGAGGCAGGGAAGACCCTCGCTCTCCTTCATCCAGATCAACGCAATTAACTCAACACGGACCTATTGAACGGAGCCCATGCAGAGCCATCTAGGGCAAGCCTGGCGGGACTTATGACACGGTGCATGCCACTGCCCGCGTCCAAGCGGAAAAAATAAGGCATGAACAAAAACAAATGACAGATTTGGGTGCAAACCACTGACATTTACATGCAACACTATGTTTTCACAAGCAGAGCACCCGGCTGTCACTCAGGGCAGAGGTGGGACGGTTCATGCACGTGCACACATGCACCAAAGGCTGTTTCTCATCATGCAAACATAAATGCAGCACAAGAACAATCGACTCCTCATGTGGAGAAACCTTGAAATGCATCTTAAAGTATCTAGCGCTGACAAAGCACAAATGCTTCACAGAAGAGACCAACACCAGAGCATTGTCTGCCACTTCAATGTGCACTTGCTCCATTGGAATCATGAAGGGACCTTCATGGCTGTGAACATAGATACTTTGGAGGAACAGTGAGACGCACATTCTGGCACACGGACAAGCACGCACTCAGCAGTGATCAATACTCTCCTCCAGCAGACTCAGTGTGCGTCGCCACTGTCACTGCACACACTCTAGGCACTCACTACAGTCTCTTACAGAAGGCCACAACTTCAACAGCACATCTCAAGTTCATCTATGTTTACATCAGCCGACAGCACTTTGTACTGTACCATCATACAACGCCAAGAGCCTTTGTCATGTTTATTGTCATGGCAACGTCACCCCCGCTGATGCCCTAATCCAATCAGGGAGTGCCTTTGATGGTCACATGACAGGAAAGAAACAATTAGACTGAGCTGAGGGGCCAGATGTACACACATACACTGTGTGTGTGTGTAATTAAAACAACTCAAGTAAAAGCCAAAGACATCAGCAGCTCCAGGGCCCCCATCATGCACTCCTATCATGCATTCAAACTGATATTTTCCCATTGTCACTAGTTCATACCTTGCATTTAATTGAAGGTGTGAATGAGCTTAATACAATCTAATGCATATTACATCATTAGCCTAATTGCTGCACAAGATTAAAGCAAAAGAGTGGTGTCTTAAGCATTTGTGTGTCTGAGTGAGCAGTCCCCATTCATTAAGGATGACTTTTGCTGGTTCAATTAAGCTCCTTGTGAATATGTGTACGGTTGTGCACAATCTCAAAATGCAGAGTGTCTGTGATGTGTGGGTGCGGAGAGGCCTAACCGGATTGTCCTTTATTAGTGAGGGAGCCTTTCTAAATATACAGAGACCCCCAATGATGTCTACAGCGAGACAATAGACCAAAGAAGCCACAGAGAAGAAGAGAATTGGATATTCTCAATCCTGACCCTTATTATGGTGAGCTTTGGCTGTTCGGGAGCATTTGAATATTTATTACAAATGATAATGCCTCTTGTACAGTAGGATTGGGGACTTTTCTAAGCGCCAAGCCAAATCCTATGGTGGGAAGGTGGCCAACGTGCTTTATGCCAGTGCTGGGGAATTAGTTGAGACAGTAGAGAGCTGAGAGGCTTGGACTTGTTTGTTTGTCGCCACATTGTTCAACAGGCTCTTAAATCTCATGACGTGTTCATTTGCGGCGGGCAAATCTTGAATTAATACAATTGCCTTAGTGGCTCTTTCTTGGCTGCTGAAAATGTCTCAGCTCTGAGAGAAGAAACATGCCCAACGACAGCGAGCCAGAGGGACAAAGGCATGCAGGACACCAGGGGAAGGGAAAGGGGGTTTGCGCAATGATCGTATGGACTTGAGAATAGTCTGGCATCTCAGTTTCTCATCCAAATCTTATTAAAGGTGGTAGAGGTTAATTAAAGATGTGTTGTGCCAATTCATTTTGTCTGGGGAGAATGGAGGGATAGCATGTGTTCAAGCCAATGGTTTTAATTACCGATTGTTGTGGTGAACCATTTTTAGCTCATCTTAAAGCTGTGACTTTATAATGGAAATAATTTAAAGCCGAAGAACCTAACATCCAATTTTATTTGTCACAACATATAGTGTATTTTGTGAGTAACATGTTTTAGGGCACAACATCCTCATCTTGTTAGAAAAATGAATAATTTGCATACTTGTTTCTGCCTGAAAAAGCTGAGCTAAAGATGGGACAGAGGCAAAGAATAGTGTGTAAAAACAATACAATTTTGTGGTTTTGAAGTTTGATTCCCAGGCTTTAAATCAATAATGAAAGTCTGTTTTATATAGAAAATGGAGTTGCATACATGTTGTCACTTGTTACTTGTTGTTCTATTCGTGTTTGTTAAATAGATTTCAGTTTATCTGTGAAGTCAAATGGCTCTTGCAACAGTAATGAAAGGCAGATGTACAGAAACTTAAGATATGGTGTGCGTGATTGTCCGATCTGACCATGCATCTGGGCCGGCAGAATATGCATGCATGAAGCTCCACTCTTGCGTACAACAATGGCACATGTATACTGCAGTGATTTTGCGCTGGGACCAAGGCAAGTGTTGTGTGTCTCTACACCTGGCTATTTATGTGTATGTGTAGGCATTTTGGCACGTGTGTTTGTGTGTCCCTGTCGCACCCGAGGGTAAAGCACTTAAGCACCGTGCGCCTGAGTCCAAACAGCTGTGAGCACCGACTCTTTAAATGACTGCAGCCCACCGGGGGGAGCTACCTCTGAAATATACATGTCACTCACCCGCCTAGAGAATAAAGATGACAAAAAGTCTGAAAGAGAGGGGACAGAGAGGCTGCGTGCTTCACTGGACAAGCTCAAAGAAGTCATCACAACAAAAGGCAAAAGGAGAAAGGACCTAGAATACAGGGCTAAATATAGGAGAGGCAAGTTTTTTGTATGGGTCTTATTAAAAGAAGAACAAGTAGAAGAAATTGGGTATTTGCTTGTGCACAACATCGCTTTTATCATTTAAGGGAGAGAACGTTTGGCTTGGGCACCTAAAAACCTCAGAATTCAATCCAGTTTGTATTTATAGAACAAAGCTTTTCTCATCTAACCTCCATCCTTTTATGTCCACGATCAGTGCCACAACTCCAGGGACCAGATCCAAAATGGCACTGCGGTCATTCTGCCATCTTGGCTTCACGGGGCATGTCTCGGGCCATGCGAGTCCAGCAGGATTGGGCTGGCTGACTGCGGAGGTCAATACTGTTCCTACTGCCCTGCCACTGCACAAGTCCATATATATGCTAATGGCACAGGAGTCGGGGGGCCAAGCAAAGGGGCGCGCGGACTGGGAGACTGTGGTGTGCGATTTGGGGTCAACCGCAAACATTAATCCAGGACGCAACAAGCTGCAGGGAAGTACTGGGAAGAGGCCAACAATGACTGAAAGAGAATAATAAGAGAGGTGATCTTTTCTTGCTAGGATTACATTGTCAATCAACGATCAATCAGAAAAGATAAGCTTTATTCAACAAACAGCGGTGGTGAAATGATTGCCAGATTATATTATTTTAAATCATCTGGGGGTCTATATAATACTTTAATAGTTCCGATGTAGAAGAACAGTTGTGTAGTTCACAAGGACCCCTGCTGTGTGAATTTCTAGGTGGTCAGCAACCTCTTATGCCAAGCAGATATTCATAGACTTCCACTTGAATGCACCAAGACCTTTCCTTCAACCCAATGGTCAGTCAGCCGGGAAAATACAGCAAACAGCAACACCTCCCTAAATTCTCTGCAACAGCAGCTGGAGTTGGGATAAAGTTGTAGATAGTTTTTTTTTTGTTTCTTAGGTTTGTAGAAGTTTTGTGAAGAGTGCACGGCTCACGCAAACATGAAATGGTGCAAGAAACACGTTCAACATCATGCACTGTAGTCATGAACGAGATGAAACTTCAACAAAAAGGCCAAAGAAAAGACCCAATTACAACCGGAATGTTTTCATCATAGAAAAGGTATACACGACAAAAAGTGATGAACAAGTCGAAAATTGTGCAAATTTGGCTAAATCTTAATTTGAGTACCTTCTGATTGTCTTAAAACGAGATTTTCCAATGAGACAAGATATTATTATCTCATATGTCTTATTTCTAGAACTATAGCTTTAATTCCTCATTCAAAGGGAGACATTTCTTGTGTCTTTTTAGATACTTTTGCTTGTCCCATTGGCACATCTTGTTTTAAGGCAGTCAAAATGTGCCAAAAATAAGATACATTTTGCGAAATTTGAGCAATTTTTGACCTATTTCGTATCACATTTTGTAGTGTAAGCCCTTTATGATAATTCATCCATACATTTACTTTTGTCAATGATTGCGTGGACACTTAATAGTTTCTAACCAGTCTGATGCGGTCATTCTTTGGCCTTTCTGCTGTTCAGACCCCCTCACGGTCTCCATGTTTTTACCTTTTTGCCCTGTGATGGGGAGTTGCGGCCCTTGTCACTCTGTAGGTGGGTGTTGGACGGGGGTGAGTGCGCACCCAGGTTGGCTTGAGACACCAGGCTGGCTCCATGCTGCTTCCCTCCTGGAGAAACTTGCATGGCGGCCAGCTGAGCGGCATACAACTGCTGCAAGGTCAGGGAGAGAGAGAGAGAGAGGAGGGGGACAGTAAGGAAAAGAGAAGAAAGGGCCGGCATGAATAAATGAATACAAGAGAACGCACAAACAAAAAGACTATGACTAAAAAGCTCTGAGAAAAGACCATTAGTGCATGGGCCGGCTTTCGTGTGACAGAGAGCGATAGAGGGACATCTCCAGCAGCGTCAGCCCCCCTCTCCCCATGGGACAGGCGCTAACAGCCTCTCTGACAGGCGCAGCGATGGCCCTGTCCCCTCCAGGTGCATCGTGGGAGACAGGGAAAACATTCAGGGCTATCGAGGTCACAACTCAAGCCCAGCTTTGGCTCAAGGTGAAAAAATGCGATGATGGCGACTGAGCGAGAGACCGGGAGATTTGAGAAGCAGCGCGCCAGATGGGACGTGCCAGCAGCAAGAAGCGCTGCTCGATTCGCCGTTCAAACCCTGATAAACATGGAGCCGCGCAAGATACAATAATACACAATAAGCCTCGAAGCAAGATGAATCGACTCAATAACTGCTGTGGGGAAACAAAACAACAGGTTTTTTCCTCTTCTTATTTATGTATTTAATTAATTTCCAATTAAACAAAAAGCATTATGGTGTGTGCTGTTATAGTGGGAACAAACCAGGGTATTTATGCAATAGCATTGTATCACACAAAACAGTCTCTGGCCAGTATTTCCTCAGCAACATTAACTTGGAGGCGCTTCAATATTCAAAACCATTTCTATCTGCCTCCACAAATCCCTCTGCACTGACTTTCATGTGCCTAATACAAATCTCTAAGACGCCGTGTTGTTTCTCTGGATTGTCATTCTCTTTTCTGCGCTTGGGTTACTGATGTGTTGTTTTTGAGTACTTATAATTGTTATTATTTATTTCGGCTAGAGGATTTTTCTGGAAGAATCCCATCTTTTTTTTTGTTTAACTTGCTTGGTCCTTCTGTTGGTGCTTGGCTGCTGTCCACAGGCGTCAAACAAAGGCTGGTTTATGCAAATGACAGTGGAGGAGATATGTCGGCCACAGTAACTCCTGCTCCACCGCGATCTTCAATAAAGACATCTATCTCTTACATCAGCAGCACAATGCACTGATTGGCACCATGAATACCTTCACAAAGCTGCACCTTTTGGACACAGCTTAACATTCAAAACCATTTGATTATTATACTCTCACCCTTATTCCAATACCAATGTTTTCCTTTTCATTATTTTAAAAGTCAAATGTTGGGAGATTATAAAACCTTCACATTTCACAAGCATAAAATATATAGCTTTTTTTCTCCTTGATTTTTTTTATTTTTCTTCAGTGTCTTTTTAGAAAACTTTTGGGAGTTTGTAACTATAGTTCTACATCTCACCCACTAAAAGTTATATTTAGAACAAAGGGGGTCAGAATTATTGTACTTTAATAACAAACTATCCGTGGTTTTCATTTGTCAATTTCAAATCGCATTTTCTGTGTTGATTTTTAAGTCACTTTAATGATAACATGCGTTTGTATATTCTTTATAATATTTGTTTCTGAATGTGATATATATGTATGCTCAATCATTGTCAGTCTGCCTTGTTGTGTGTCAGTGCTGGACGTAACATTTCCTAGGATCACATCAGCCTCTTGTCGCTCATTTCTCTTCAATTAGCTTCTCTGTAATCTCGGCTGACCTCACCCCCCACCTCTACAGAATCTCCCCCCGGCGAACCAGTGCGGCCGTGGGAGCAGGCTGCGTGTGTGTGTCCATCCATGTATTCGGACCACTGCTTCGTTCAAAGACCTCTTTATATGCTGAGTGAATTGAGTTCCATTACAAGGCCAGCTCCCATCACTCAGAGGCTCTGCTCAATGGGCTGGCCACAAGGTATACTGCGCACAAACATGCACGCACGCACGCACACACACACACACACATGCACACATACAGGCATTCATAACATACATACACACACACATAAAGAAGAGGAAGATGAGAGGACGGAGGGGATGCGGAGCCCAGAGCATGGCCGCCTCAGCCACATGCATGTCAACAAACAGGAAGTGACAGCGCCGAGCCTCCTGGGGTAACCGCGGGAGCACACGCACAGGGCAAAGAGGGAGGGGTGTCTGTGTGTGTGTTTATGTGGGGGGAATTGTGAAATGCCATTCAAGCCATCCAGCACACAACATCTGGTTGTACCAATGATAGTTACAGTTGTATCAGACCAAGCTTGCGATGCTAGATGAAGTGAATAAATATAAAGTATTGTTGGAGAATGTAATGGAGTTTGACTCACTTTGTTAACCCATAAGTGCAAAGCAGCTTGTGGATCCAGGAAACCCTCTAAACAGCGACCGGGCTTACCACCAACGTTTCCCTATTTTTTTATGGCATCTTTTTTTCATTGTTGTTCTATTGTTCTTATAAGGTTTCGGGCCTCACCTTTTAGTTTGTTTCAAATTTTAAAATACCCAAAGGGTAAAATTAAATGGCCTTGACCTATTGGTCCATCCTTGTGAAGTTCAACCTAATAAGTACTATATTTTTGAGTGTTTTCTCCCATGGGACCATCATGGGTTTTGGTTTGATTTGATGCAAATGTTTTTTTTTTTTTTTCTTCAGTGAACCACTAAAGCAGTGGGCCTAATATATCATAATTTAGAATACCACAGATAGAAGTTTCATCTACAAGAGTACCATACATAAAGAAATAGAGAGAAATAAAACAAAAATAATAGTTATTGCTTCAGTCGAAGGCCTTTTTTCAGCTTGCTCCAACCAAATTAATTCCCCTTTCACTATCAACCTACACTCAATCTCCAAAGGTCATAGTATGTCTTTGTGCAGTAAAATTCAATGCTATTGTTCTGTAGCTGTCCAGCTGTGGTTTGGGAGCTGGGGTCAGGCCTGGGTCGCCGTCAGGGTCAGACGTTCAATTTGACATTTATGGGACACTTTTATGCAGAGGACTGAGGGATGTGCTCCGACACCATGTACTCACTGTCACTCTGTTTGAACATGGCGATATAGTGTCCGTGAATGACCCGTCGACCCCCTGTGTGTCTCTATTGACGGGAGACCAAGAGGGGAGGGCCGACTATTGGACTGGTGTGAGTGAAGACATGCCTCTGATTGTTTTGTATTAGTCCTATTGACACAGACGGAATCCATCTAACAGCACAAACAGACAGTAAGGCACTTGCCCATTGCTTGTCCTGCTGTTTTTCATCCTCTCCTGGATCTTTGTGTGCATTCGGTCAATAATCTACAGCTTTACTCGGATTAGCAGCCGCCTCTCTCCGTATTGTCAGAGTTAGCGGCTTCAGCAGCATTATCCCATTGTTTACAAGGATGCTCGTGATAGTATGGATTTTAATGGAGGTTGTCTTGTGTAAATATAATACCGTATCTATTAGTTGAAATGTCTGGAACCTCTTTGTTTCTACTTGAACGACGTTTTAATTTCAATTCAATATAGCTCAAAATCACAACAGCAGTCGTCAAGGTACGACTTTATAAAGTTTTCAATTCGGCAAGAGCAGATTAGAGAATCAAACCATTACAACACAGGAAAAGCAATAACAAAAACACATTGAGCCATCGGACCAGATGACCAGATAAATGCTCATAAATGTAGATACATGTCACTGTCCTTCGACTCTCCTGCATTTGAATGTGTTACTTTAAATCAATTCTGGCCAGCCATGTATTCTTTCTTCTAATTTTTGTTGTTGTCTAACCAGAGACATACAATTTGCACATTAATTGCGCAAGTTGTACATCAAAGCCAATTGTATTATCAAGGAAAGGTCTATTATTAAGCAGCAAATCTAATGCACAAAGCAGGCTTATCTCACAATTGTTTATAGATTTTGCATTTCCATCATGATATCACAGAAGAGAATTGCCACTGAACTCTAGCAAACCTATTCTAACCTAAGAAGGCAATATGTGGAATTAAACCACTCCTAATTGCTTGGCTTCGTCTTTCTCTTCTAGATAAGAGGAACTTGCTGTTAGATAAATTGATTTCTCGCGTATCAATTGTGTTTTGCCATTTTGCCCCTCTTTCACATTATTCTTGTTGTTTGTGCTTCTGTCTCCCGGTGTAGAGTATGGTAATCCAGGACAATATGTTCCAACATCTGCCTCTCCATATGATGCCTGACCTGCACCACTGACCCTCTTTATTGCATTGCCACACACCCTTTCCCCGAACACCTCTTTCCCCTCATCCTTTCTCCATTTATTTCATCATAATTCTCGAACATGACCATCTTTATCCGATTTTATCCACCTTAACTTGAGCCAGTCAAAGGATCTGATGTGCAGTTTAATGGGGATCTATAATCGGATAGACTTTATGCTAGATAAATAGATAGATATGATAGATAGATAGCCATTTGTGGAAAATAGGGAACTACATGTAAAATCATGATCAATATTAGGGGTACCCAAACCAAAAATACTATGTAAATGAGCAAAAAATATTCATGTTTTATTTCTAAAAGGGTAATAAAGTGTACTTCCGTCTCTTTGTGTTGTTTGTACAGTGTCAGTGTTTATGCCCTGGAACAAGGTGTGTGTATTGTTTGTTGTTAGAAAAAATAAAAATAAAAAATAAAAATAAGTCAGTTGTCTACACTGATTTTGTTTTGAATTAGGATTATATATTCTTGATGTATAATTAGTTTAAGGTTCCAGAGTAGTATGACCACCCTTTCTCATCCTGTCCTGTCTTTTCTGTGGAAAATCAACAAAATAAAATAATATTTCTTCACTTAATCACATGCTAAACAGCTCCTGCGGTGGACTCCACTTTGGACTACAGTGGACTACAATGGTATGATTTAAAATATGTTTCCTTTGCAGGGTTAAGACGGGACTTTCTCAATTTGACAAGGCCTGATGAGAATGTCTAATTTCTGCACGTCTTCTGTGTTTTGCCTGATATCAATGATAGCATGGGGGTCTATACAGCTAGATTAACACGCTTTAATGTACAATGTCTCAGTTATCCGCCCAGAGTAAAGCGTTAACTGCCAACCTTGTACACTTAGCGCACTATTGCCTTAAAAGACCTTTATTTGATGCTAAGCCGCTGCCACCAACTGGATGGATGTGTTTGAACCAAGAGTAATATGAAGGACGGGGTTAAAATCATAAAGAGATTAGCACGTGTCACAGAGGCCTGCACTTAACGTAAAGCTGGGCCTCTTTATTCTCATGCACGCACTTTTGAGCCGTCATGACACCATTTCACGTCTGGGATTATACAGAAGCCTGCTCATCATGTGTAAGTTCATGGGAGTAACAAGATCTTACACATCAATGACAGACGAACCCCTCACAATACAAACGCAATTGTGCATTTATGATAGAAGGTTAAGTTTTTAATACCTATTTGATCCGGCTGTCCTCAAATCCTGCCTATAAAGAGTGTTATAAGATGAAACTATTGCACACAGGCAAAGATGTAAAGGCGTAAATACATATTGTGGATCAGCTGTGATATCTGAATAACCACGCTTGTAATCAATAGATGCATTGTGCAGTAACTTTGAGTAATTAGCACTGTGATTATTCATGTAGTCCTCTTCTGTCGGGAAGTGGTTCCGCAGCGATATTGTCTTTACAAACAGAAGTGTCTCACACGAGGGTCCCAGAGGAAATCCAGCCACATAGAGACATCTGCACTCGCGTCGGGAAATCCACAAATCCCTTTTATTTCTGACAAAGCCTTAATCTCCCCTGCATATGTTTTATGGGAGGATTGTCCTCCACAGATCTGAAACTGAGATGTTTTTGTGACCTCAAGCTCTTGTTGGTCAGAAAAAACGGCTTTAATCAATGTGAAATTTGATACGCCTGCAAAACAAATTCACAATTTGAATCAGCAAATTGCAAAGATACCATTATTTGTATTGTTACTATTTTTTGCATGTCTGTGTAAATACTGATTGATATTTCAGTCTTCCAAAATATAATTGACATTGGTCTGTTTAAACTATATGAAGCCACAAATCAAAATTACAAGAATGGGGCGCACTAGGGTAGTCTTGCACAGTTTTTCCAATATGGTTTTACTGCAAATGCCAAATACATTCTTGTATATTGTATAATTGTACCACAAAAAAAAAAAAACTGTCATAGATAAGTAGGTACATATATTTTACTCACATTATTCAACCCTATAATCTCCCTTGTGCCTATTTTAATTGTATATAAATTGAGTGTAGTCTAGCTCAGTACATGACAGTCCACCAATAATTTAACAAACAAAAACGTATTAATTCTGAACTTAAATCATTGCTGAAAGATTGGAGACAGCTGGTTTACACTGCTCCATCTTTTTTCAGCACTGTAAAACATATGCTGGCCGCTCAGCTGACAGGTGCACATGTACGGCGCACACTTTGCTTCACCTCTAACCCACATTTCCCATAATTCAGCCAGTGTGAGCGGTAAGTGATTTAGAATTCCCCATTTTACACGTACGCACAGTCTACGCGTGCAGCTGGTTTTTCCAAATACATACATCCCATTTTATGATAATACAAGAGACTGGAGGTGAAGTGCTGAACATGAGGTTAATGTGTTTCAGACAGGCAGCTAAGAGGACGTCTGCTCTACCTCTTAACCCGCAGGAGAGTCCCAGGGGTCCTTAAGCACGCATGGATGTGAATATGTGGGGTCCGCTACTGTCCATGCTCGCAAAAAGAATAGTCAAGTGAAAAGGGCAGTAATGTATTTCACTTGCCATGACCCATTTCAAAGCGGTCCCTAATCCCCCTATTTTAAACTGGGATGTGCAAAAACGTAAGGTAAGCGTAACATATGATAAGATAAACTTTATTGATCTCACAATGGAGACATTTACATATTTTAGTTGTGCTCATGCTACTGTACATCAACCATTATCTTCCTCACTGAGATGAGCCAAGACACGTGATGTTTCTGGGTTTAAGATAGAAATCCATTTTATTCATTGTGTTCGTTAAATGCCCGATCTTGGTGCACATTTCACTAGCAGACAGGTACTGTATATTTATTTGTAAAGGCAAGGCAAGGCAAGTTTATTTATATAGCACAATTCTTCATACACAAGCCAATTCAAAGTGCTGAACAAAACAAGAAAGCATTAAAATCATAAATAATCACAGAACATTAAAAAGAAAGATAAAAGTATAAAATCCCCCAACACAAAGCAACTCTAAGTGCAACAAATGATATGTTTCTATATTGTTTTGTTAAGCACTTCACACAAGGCATTAAAATAATCACAGTGCAAAAACAAGAGTGAAGATAAAAACCTGGATCATTTTTTTTACCTGGATTTGAACACAGAGTAGACTCCTGTCTCACATCCTCAGGAAAACCGTTCCAGACCTTAGTTGCATGAATCTGAAACGCTGCCTACACCCATGTCTAGTTCTGACTCTGGGCACCAGCAGAAGGCTAGTCCCTGTGCTCCTCAGAGTCCGAGCTGGTTCATATGGCACCAGCATGTCACTTGTACTTTGGTGCGGGGCCATGGAGAGACTCGTACACAAGCAGACCTGTTTTAAAATCTATTTTCTGAGCCACAGGAAGCCAGTGCAGAGACCTGAGGACTGGACTAATGTGGTCGTACTTCCTGGTTCTAGTCACGACTTGAGCTGCAGTGTTTTGAATGTACTGCAGTGGTTTTACAGCATGTTTAAAGAGACCTATGAGCAGACCTCTGTCTAACCCACTAGAGACAAAAGCATGGATTAGAATCTCCGAGGCTGCTTTAGACTCTATATTTTTTTTTATCCTGGCAATGTCTGTTAGCGGGTGCTAATGTTGAAGATTTGTGGCTGTTAAAATGTAAGTTCAAGTCCATTATTAGATCGATCTGAGTGTCGTCTGGATGGTTGTGATAGGACATTTTTTGTTTCCGCGTATTAACTGACCTAACGGCAGCATGTAGAGATTGAACAAGAAGAGGTCCCAGGATGGTTCAAATTGTTATAATGCAAAACCCTTCTTGATAAAAGCAGCAGATGTTTACTTTTTTGTATGTGATGCATTTCTGCTCGCTCCATCCACAACCTTCAGATTTACGGCGTTGTTGCTGAGTAGAGGAGCAGACCTATCGGAGTGCGGTGGTCGCACTGGGCCCAGGAGTCAGGTCTTTCCATGTATCGTAAACCGCAAACGACATGCAAAAAGTTAGTCTGTTTGGATCATCATTGTCCTTCCAGATGGTGATGCATTGTGCACATTAGTGACAGTTTGTTCCAATTCACTCATGGTTTTCTCTTTGCCTTCAGAATTCTACTTATACTGTAAATTAGCTATATTTTAGTGTTGTTCAACCTGGTACTCCCCCTATGGGAAACAATTGTCACTATATGATGACATTGAGTACTTGTTAATTACGTTTTTGTTGATGATTACTGATTAAATATTGGCAATGTTATACTTACTTATTATAAAATTAGAGTGACCACACACTTGGACTCATTTTAGGAGTTTAACATCATGGACATTTCTAACCTGCATTGTCTATTGTGCGTATACATCATAGAATGTATTATTATTATACATCTATTCTACTATTAGTTATCGCACCATAAATACCGAAGCAAATTCTGAGTTTGTGAATCTCCCGTTCACTGACAATAGCAATAACCGATTCTGGCTTTACAACAATTTCACCAACTCAAAAAATCTTTCTTCCAGAACACTCAACTATCCTGACAACCTGTAGACAACTCTGCAAAAGTTGAGTTCAATTAAAACGTACTTATACATGTTGGTTTCCACTTCAGCACCAAGCCCAGTGGTCCGGTCTGAACTTGTTCTACCTCCGGCCCCGGGGCCAGTCCCTCTCTTGTCGTCTCCCTGTGATTTCTGATGATATAGACTTGTTTTCATAGGCTCACCTCACTGTCCACGCTCACGGCCGATCTGACGGTTCTATTTGTGACCAGCGTACTGTGAGCGTGGTCGAGTATGGGAGATTTATTCCCACTGGGTTCGGTGGAGTGAGAGGGAAGTGTATTTTCTGTCATGAATGATCAGCACTTGAAAATGTTTGGAAGTCTGTCTGTCTAGACGGAGCTCGTGTGAGATGCATTTGAATGAGACGTCAGAAATGTTTCAAACCGAAACTGTCAGGTAATAGTTGTGTGTTTTAAATATATATATATGTGTGGACTCACTTGTAGTTGTAGAGGACCAAGGCCTGGTGTGGCAGCGGCAGCAGCAGCAGCCATTGTCGTGGGGATTAATTGTAGAGGGTATGGATCACCTGAAACAGAATTAAATGTTAAGAATACACAAAAATGACATCCTTTCTTTAAAAAAACAACAGAAAAACCATTTCAAGTGTTTTCTATAGCTTTTTCTAATTCTTGTGAGCATTAAAAGTTGCCGTCATTATTTTTGACCAATGAGTATTTCATTAAAATAATTGTGTCCTTAAAATGGCTACGACTTTGGGATTTACAAAAAATAGATAGCCATCAAAATTAGGCACCAAGGAAGCAGAATTTTTATACAGAAACCTGTTTTTTTATGTATTTTACTAGTTACAGTTATAGATTTCAGTATTAAGTAAACTTATAAAATTTTAGGGCTTCACCTTTTGTTTCACATAACATCATTTTCTAACCAAATATGTCATAAATAATAAAAAAACAAAACTTTTACAAATGATAAAATACGCTTGAGCTCCACCTCCACTTGTTATATATAAATGTTTCATAATTCAATTGCACAACAACAGCGCAGGAGGCGGCCGATTCTTTTATCATTTCACCCTCATCCTTAATACCATAGTTTCTCAACCCGTGGCCTATAACCCCTCTTTGACACCAACCCAGCACCTGAGAGATAGACGAGAGCAGCTGCTAAAGCCGTGTTCCTTTTGTGAGCCGTGCGCCGTGCCTTAATGAAAAGCCAGATTGTGTGTGTCCTGCTTAATACCCTTCGACAAAGAGCATTGAGGTGAGGGGATTGTGATAACGCTCTATAATTAAGAGCCACCGCCGAGAAATCCTGCCCATTCTGTCCAGCCATTTGCTCCAGAGACTCAATACGTACAAACTTACGCATATATTTTTTGTTTCTGTGTGTGTTAAAGTTGATGCATTGATGAATTGATGAGGAGAAAAGGTGACAGGAGAGTGCAGAGTTGTTCAGTGGGAGGGCTAGGCTTGTCCAGGTGCAGGTTACGGGCAGTTCTGTAATTACTGTGAGACGGAAAGGTCAGAGAATAAAGAGGACAGACGCAGCGAGGTGAAGAGGTGAGCAGATCCGCTGTGCTCCTTTGTGGATTCAGAAATGAGCAGTTCGATTTAATTTGCATGTATTTATGAGGAAAACATGCACAGGAAGATTGAAGTTAAAGTAGTAGCTTAAACTGTATGAGTTTGAGTGGATGCTGTTGCCAACTTCAACCTTTTTCCAGAAATTTGATACGAAGCAGACACATTTTGGGCATTGAAACTTTATAAGTGATAGTGAACAACTAAGATTAATGACAGAAATACATTTGTAAGTAAAATGTATTGAAACATTTGTGGGGAATCATGTCACTCTTTAGAAAGTATGTTATGATTCAGGAAATCATGGTGCATTTCTGCTGCGTTGGACCTTAAAGGTGAACTCAGCAACTTCAATTGTATTTCATTTTTTTAAATCATAGCTACCTAATAGCACACATGACCTCGTGCTATAATGTCTTTTTCAAAAGTAATGCATTTCAAACAGTCCTTCTTTTCTTCAAAACCCTAACCAGTAAAATAAGATGGAGGAGAATAGTTGGATCAGTGACAAAGGACTTCAAATAATTTCGTCCAATCAGGAAGCTGTGAAGATGAGCATGGGCAGGTCTTGCAACTGACACTTTTCTCTTCTCCCACATACATTTTGTGCACGTACAAGACCTTCACTTAAAAAATAAAATGTAATTCCAGAAATATGTATGCAAGGGTGATTTATATGTTGTAATATTTGTCTTATGATACTTATTATATACAAATGACTTTATGACCGGATGAATTAATAAATAAATGATACGATTATTAGTCCCACAAATTACAGATTACATTATGTCCACAAAATGTCACCACAGGGAGCACAATGAGTGAGCTTTCTTTTGATGATGATGATAATGTTTGTTTTTCTTGGTCTTGTCACACATTATAAACAATTATTTCAGGATCCTGAGATGTACTGATATGGTCATGTAAAGTAATAGTCTGTTATGTGTGACTGCAATAGCACACAGATTGGCCACATAAAAAAAAGACAATGCAAAAATCACTAAAAGACAACGACAAACTATCACATGTCAGATTTTATCATTGGCCGTTATATAAAGCAGTTGAACAGAGCATGAACCCTGCTTTTGGCCTCTGACCAGACCTCCTCTGGTCCTGATGTGGCATTGAACAGACACAGCCTCCGACATACTTTCCCATCTCTGACCACTCAAAACAGAGACATTCTTCTGCAGCGGAAAGGAAGTGCCCGGATTAAATAATTATTTTGGGGCTGTGTATTCTCACAGAGGCGGTGTGGACAAACAAGGGTATTTATGCTGCTCCTGGGGGTCGCGCTGACAAAAGAGAGATGAGGAGAGGAAAGCAAACATATTTCTCTTGGCTCCGCGACAGGCCCGAACCTAACGTGGACTTTTATTTGATACACAGGACTCACTTATGAGCGAGGACTGTTATGTAAGAAAAATAAACAGTACGCTTTCAATATTCTAAGGTTTCACAGTAACAATTGTCTCATAGTCGATCAGCAACACTCTTTGTAACTGTTGAATTCATCTGGGAAAATTATGTTTTCAACTTTGAATTATGTTGTAACATCATTTTGGCAGTTTTGGCTGTTTGGTATGATTGGTCCCTTGATAAAGAAGGCATGTCTATACAGTAAATCAGACTGATAATTAACATGTTATGGATGATTTTAGATTATTGTATGGAGTGAGATTAATCAAAATCTTGTAGAGAAAAAGACAGAAGTCAGTTTTCCAACTTTGAGTTCTAATAGAAGTCAAACTAAAGGGGGAGAAAGTGAACATTTGAAATATGACATTTTCTGCCATTTTGAATGGGAAGGGATTCTATTATTATGAAATTTCAGATGGTCTCTGGTCTCCTTTAGTATTCTAGTATGCTAGAATACCTAGAATATTAGAATAAAGCCTCACTTCTTTTAAACCACACACAACATGTAATAAAACCTATTTAACTAGTTTGGTCAAAAAACAGCAACCACAAGTTTTCACATTCAGTTTTTTTTTTACTTTGTCACAGCCATTTCTTTAGATTAGCGTTTGTGTTTATATCAGACAAAGATGTTTTGTAATAATATGACGACAGCATGTTGTCTGATTTCTTCTCTGTAATATTATAATATATTCTTGGCTCAAACAACATGCATATTTATGAATCAAAAAGTTAGTTACCCCAGCTTTATACAATGCTTCCAACTTTCTTTTGTCTGTTTAACTTACTTATAACTTCACTCAGAGTGGCAGTTCTGTTGACATCTCATACATCACAAATATAGCCTGATCTTCCTCTTATATTTGTCTTCACACGTCTCACTCCACAGTTCCTTTCCTCTCTCCAAAGCCAACATAATGCTCGAGCGATGCCAGCTCTTTTTTGTCGGATTAAACAAAGTCTTTAACCGCCATGTCTCTCTCTGTCACATGTTGTGCTCCGAGAAAAATAGTGTTACTGCTCAACAAGTGTTTTTTAAGACGACAGGCTACATACTGTGAGGATACTGCCTATTCATATCTTCAAAGCTCTACCAAAAAATATGTCGGAGCACAATGCTACACATGTCCTATTTCGAGCCACCCAAAAAAATCGACATCAACAAGTTTGAAAGTTGCCAGAGGAGTTTTCTCAAGGGCTTGGCTGGAGCTTGGCGTAAAGTGCGGCTCTTTCTCTCGTCTTGGATTTTGGCGGAGGCTGTGAAAAGACATGCCCACCACTCAAAAGGGTAGGTACGTGGGCTATAGTGGGCGTGGGTGAAAGATGGCACTAATTAAAATGGACCGAACTTGTTTAGGAAGCTGTGAAGAAGAAGAGGAGGGGGATGAGTGGGGTCTGAAAGTTGAATGTTTAGTTTTTTTTGATGAAATGACAAAGCTACGAGCGTTCACGTGGGAAGCAGTTGGATATCATTGTTGGCACGAAGTTGTGGTGATATGACGACAACCTCGGACAGGTCACTTCTCTCCTCCCTCCTCCTGAACACGAGACCCCCCGGTGGGCATTTATTCCCAGTATTCCCTGGCAGAGAACCTCGTCCCTCTCTCTCTGTCCATCTCTTTCTATCATGATAAACAACACATTGCCACACAGCCGGAGCGCCATGGCCAAAAAAAAAAAAGTCATTTGTTGCTTTTTACATCAAAAAATAGACAAGACAAAAGATAGGAGCCAAGCGAGGGATGAGAGAAAGAGTGAGCTGTGGTGCGAGTAAACAGGATGTGTTTGGAATGCTTTTTCCATTAGGAGAAATGTTACTCTAAGGGCGAGTTCGTCTTTTAGAAAACAGACTGATTTGTGTGGGAACAGGGGCCAAACTTTACTACTACAGTATAATGAAGTAATCCAAGGACTTTATCTTGATTTGATGAACTGCGCTGCTACACTGCAACGTGTTACTCAGATCATTATTGCCTCTTGCAGTCCTGGTGTGGTCACATTCAACAAACAGATTAACCATGAACAATTATGCAACATTTTGGGGTTTTAAATGAAAGTTTTGAGTAAACTTGGTGTAACAGGACAGGCTAGATGTCTTAAGGGTCATTTTAAAAAAACAAACATGGCACAGGAAGAAACAAATACATTGAAAAATCTAAATACTTGGGTTGAGTTAAAACTTACAGCTGGGGTACCTAACTTTCTAACAGATTGAGTATAAGTATAGGGGCTGGTGCTCTGTGTACTGGGTGCAGCTCTAACTGCCACCCCGACATGGATTGCATTACATTGTTTGTGTTGTTGTGGTTTTTAAAGTACCCTAGCTTTAAATCTCAGGTGTTAACTTTATACAGGTGTTAGGCTTCAGTCGTGCACTTACTGCAGCCGGGTTTGTAGTTGAATCCTGGAGGCATGAGGAAGCCCTGCTGAGCGGCGGCGGCTGCCAGGGTCCTCTGGTCTGGAGGGAACACTGGGATCATCAGAGGAGGCAGCTGGCCCTGGACCTGCTGAGGACCGCAGGAAGAGGAGAGGAGAAGGAGAAAACCATGAGAAAGGCAAATTTCAATTGACTCTTGGTTAAATTAAAGTTGTATTTGTATAAATAATATATATAAAGTAATATATGTGCACCACATTTTCAGCATCTGCTCAAAAAAACTGTTAATTTCAATGTGCAGATCCCGATCCCGATTTTAAAAGACCAGAACGATTTGGATTCCTTTGTAGAGAAATAGCAAATTTAAGTAATTTCAATTGAACAACTTTTAAGATAATGTTCAAGAAATATTCTGTCAAACACCCATCCCCCAACTTAGTGTTGTGGCCGCCCACTTTGAAAAACGCAAAGTTTAGTAGATCTAATACGAGTTTCTAATGTGAGGTTTATTCGACACGACATAGAAAGCCCACAAAAAAACTTCATTATAAGTGGACTGGTTCAAAACACATGGACTGGTTCAAAACACATAGCTTTTGAACCAGAAAATAGCTACAAGCTGTGAATCGTCCCTGCCTAATAACAAAATTGGCAGAAGGAAATGGTATGATATGTTATTTATTGGTCAAACGTAATTAAACACGAAAGAGACAAATTATTCGCGGTTCGAAAGGCCGCCCCGAGTTACCGCCAGTGTGAATGCGTGGTTGTGATAGACCAGTGACCAGACAGTTTACCTCCGAAAAGGAACAGCTTGAGGATCTACACACACTCACAATTATCTCAACTGTAATCACTCCATCACTTCTCGAATTCAGACGCAAAAGCTCGTCATGTGGACTCTCACAACAGCTGGCCTGCCTTTTCTTTTTGGAAGATGTTGTCCCCCACCCTTCCTCCTCCCCCTTCTCGGAGCATCCCCGCAACTTACAAACGCACACAAACTCGCTCTCTTTCGGCACGCCGCCATACGACTTCACAAGGTTTCCAGGATTTTAAAAAGGAGCGGAGAAAGGAGAAAAAAAGAAAAAAAAGTCCTCTGAAAAAAGGGTGGCTTTGGCAGAGAGGAGAGGGAGAGGAGGAGAGAGAGAAGAGAAGACAGAGACAGATGGTTGCACTAAACAGCGTTCTGCCAAAAACAACACACAAAGACTCGCGTGTGACGGACGGACTGACAGTCTGAGAGGAGGAAGATGCGGCTTTGTGAGAGCGGCGAGGGACGCCGGAGGTACCTGCATATCTGGACTTGTGTTCAAGTCATCACCAAACTACTCAAGTTCTATCAAAAGCTCTAAAGGCCAGAGCTGCGTGTGGCTACAGGTGTGCGGAGAACCATCAGCTTAGTCAGCCTAGAGACCTGTCACAATTATTACAATATCGATTCAATGTTCCAGTATGAAATGGATGGAACAAAAACTGAGTTTTGGGGCTTAATATTTATCGTCTGAACAGTTTATTTGCAAAAATGAGAAGACCTTTTTTTTTTTCAAGAAAAAACCAGCATTTTATCAATTGCTTGTATCTGCTATTTATTTTAGTTTCTTTAGCTTACTGCTTTTAATACAATTGGTTCACTGGGATTGTTGTACTTTGTGTGCTCATGGTGCAATTTTTGTAGCAGTGGCACAAAGTTGATACTATAATTTAATACAGTAAACTTTGTGTCAATATTTCATATATTGACAAAAATACACATATTTTTAAATCTTTATCTTTTATAAGATCCAACCCTGTTCTTCAACTGGGCATTGCAAATCTAAAACTACTATATCTGAGCCAAAGCATTAAGAATTACAGCAAAACTCTGGGCTCAAATCTTATTGGCTGTTCAAGGCTGGTTATCCCTTCTTTTACTTTCTCAAGGATTACACTGCGATGTAGGATACATTTTATCTTTTCATTTTGAAAACCAGCAACCCAGAATTAAGATAATTCATAGTTATGTCATCATTTAATCGCTACATGAGCTTCTCATCTTACATAAATATACATTTAGTAATTTTAGTATAGATCTCAGACGAAGTTTCAATGCTCCATCTTTCAAATTCATGAATGAAACTATCATATCTAGTATATTATAATACATCTACAAATGTATCCAAAAATTCAGCAAGACATTCTAAATTTCACTAATCAGGTTATTTAGATTCTGCCTCAAATTCTGCTTTGACTACCTCCATGTAACCGTACCGTATATTTCCTCCTGCTTTCCTCCCTGTATAACCTGGGCTCTTATTCTGTCAGCAGGGCAGGTAATGGCTCAATAGGATAATAGGCAGGTGAAAGCTGTTTGATGTGGAAAATGGATCTAAAGGAATGATGGAAATGGGGACAAATGGCTGTACAATCATAAAGATGCCAATGCCGCACTCACATATATAGGGCTGGCAAGTGTTTCAAGTGGTGAGTGCTTGAGACGCTGTGAGACGTTTGTGCTCTTATGGCGCTGCTGCTCCTGCTGCTCTACGTGCTGTGTGTGTGTGTGTGTGTGTATCTGTGTTTAGATGAACTTTGGACATAGATTGTAATAAATATCACCTTTATTTTCAGATGTATCCTTACAATTTTACTTTTATCTATTTCATTAGATTGTATTACTATATGTAATTTCATCTCTGCATCGATGTATATTAAAGCTGGGGGACATAACTTGTTTTGGTTTTCAAAACAGTTTAACCATACAATCAAATGCAAATAATCAAATGACTGCAAGCCTGACAAAAGATCTGAATTATACATTTTCAGATAAGAAGTAATGTGAAAACAGTGCATCACACACTTTAAAAAAAACTTTGAAAAAATTAAACCTTATTGTGGTGAAAAGTTTCAAAAAGTCATGTCCCTTTATAGTGTCACTATAAACCATTGGGTTCTTCTAAATTTATCCTTTAGAAAGAGTATTTTTTTGCCAACATACTGTATCTTTTTGCTGATTTCTATGGACGAACTGCTTAAGAAACCGTCCGATGAGTTGTCCAACACCTGTTAGTCTAATAAAAATGCTATTATTTAGTTAGTGATATCTTTCTTGAATTAAAATTTCCTTTAGGTTTTTAGGCAGTCATTGCTTGTTTTAGTGAATTCAACTACTTATTTGTATGGATAGTGCTGTTTAGAGCCATAATTACATTGTATAACGAACGTCCCCAGACCTGTGGCTCAGCCTTCATACAAGCATTAGTAACTATAGGTGGAACTGTAAACATGCTCTCCTCCTCTCTCCTCCTCTCCCAGGTTTGCAGCACTGAGCTCTGTGATCAAACTATCAGCGCGACCAGGGAGTATAGCTGCCTCTTCAAGTGTTTTCCCCGAACACCAAAAACACTAATAATTACTTGAACATTTTGGTTAACCATAAACCGCGCTGGTGCGATCAGAAGGAGAGTGGGCTCGGACCAGACCCCCGCCGGGACAAATCACACCCACAACAGTCGCGCTCTGCCTTTCAGGCCTAATTGGACATATGCTGGAAAGGAGCTGGCTGTAATACTGTAATGTACCGTGGGGAAGACGAGAGGAGGAGGACCAAACAGATATGGGGGATACGTGCTCAAAAATGTTTCACATTTATTTATTGATTATTGTGTTGACCGTTCACCGAAATAATTGATTTGAGATGCATAGTTAATAGACTAAATGATCACGCCTTTTTGTGGTGGCGTTTCCTCCACTAATGAGCAGATATAAGTATGTGAATGCGTATGTGTTTGTAAATAGGGACGATGTAAGAACTGTGTGCAGGGATAAATATAATAATGATTTCATGCATTATAATGATTGTATGATACAGTGCTTGCTTCATATCAAAAACGTCCTGGGTTCGACTCCACCTCATTCTGTGTGGTGCTTGCATATTTTTAAACTTCTATGTGTGGAGTGAGTAGAACAATCCCCACAACTCTAAAGCGCTTTGTGACTCCGTAAAGTGTACTTACTGTTACTAGTAAGGCAAAATCACACACGTTTATGTGCCATGCTAATATTTTGTTTTCAGACCCCATATCCAAGGTTCTCATAGCTTCCTACAGTGTCCTTTTTTCTCAAATCTGTGATGTTGTGAACTATAAAAACAGCACTACTTATACTGTGTTGTCATACTGCATTCAATACGTCCCAAAAATTGAAATACTATACAGGAATAAACATAAACTTGTTGAAACTGTACTATCCTATCCTCTTTTTCTCTCTGAAAGAAGGCTCCGGTTTCTAAAATCAGAACTATTTGCAGATCTTGTGTGTTCAATTGCCGTGTGACTTCGACTCGGTCCCAGGACAAATAATGTCTACAATAGGAAGACATTAATCCACTAAGTAACCGCTGCTCTATACGTCTAAGTCTCCTCAGTGGGATAAACCATACAAGTGCGAATCCTTGAAAAGCACAGAGAAATGTAGAAATAATGAGAAGCACGCAGAATGTTTTATGAGAATCATTTTGTCCATATGGTCCTGTTATTATAGTTGACTCGGAAAAGTGTGTAGCAGCTGTTCACCGGCGCACGACACTGACCTCCATATTGCACTCACGCAGCAGGGAATATACACGGGCGCCGTAAGTTTGACTTTGATTTCATATTATCTGCAATATTGGAAAAATAGGAGTTTAGAGATATAGGCCTTCAATAGATGGCCAAAGTCCCTGAGAAGCGTTTATGAGTGATGAAATATGGGACAATATATATATATTTTTTACATAAATAACACATATTGTTAACAATTGTGAATACACTGCAAAAAAATATCACATAAGAGATAATAATTGCTTGAATCGAGTTGTTTTCATCTAAATTTAAGTTCTTTCTGATTGTCTTAAAACGAGATTTGCCAATGAGACAAGCCATTTTGACTTGACTCTCATTCCAAGAGAGAAATGTCTTGTATCTTTTTAAAACAATATATTTTTTCTTGTTCCACTGGCAAATCTGGTTATAAGGCAGTCAAAATGTGCTCAAATTTAGATACATTTAGCCAAATTTGAGCATTTTTTGTCTTTAATTCCATCATTTTTTGCAGTGTAGAATCGCAGTGTGCTGTCTTCAACATCAAACATTAGGTGGAGTCAATATATTG